TCTAATGGCCTCCAGTAGAGTTCAATGGGATGCCACACCCTGGCCCCAGTCTATCCTTGGCACTCCCTCAGGACCTCCCTGCTCTGCTGCCCGTTGCTCTGCCACACGACCTTAGTGTTTTGCCTCAGTGTCGTGGGGTCAGACTGGGCCAATCCTGACAGTCTTGTGTTGTCCCCTGTAGGGCCATGGGTCAGTGAGGGACATTGTGTCTCATAGTGGAGCCAGCCATATGGTCCACTCTGTGCATTGGCTGTCCTGAGCAGGGATATCATCCTCCAGGCTTGGTGGGCCAGGATGTGCTCCTCTCTTCCTTTTCTATTTGCTCCAGTGTGCTCTGATCAGACATGTCCCTCTCCCAGAGCTGTAGGTCCAGTGCTGTCCTCTGAAGTAGATTCTTCTAGGGGGAGGGGCAGCTGTACATGTAGTTGGGATTGGGGCCAGGTCTTCAGACCCCTCCAATGGCTCCCCACTCCATGTTGCATTCACATTCTGGAACACCGGGTTGAAGTCTGGTTCATCTTTGCCTGTTTAGATATTAACAATACACTCCCCTTGGGTGGGTTAGTACCCTGTTCGCCCCCTACACATTTTTGTTACTTTCTGGGAATGGATTTTATGTTTGTCATGCATAGTCTTCTGCAAACTGGGTGCTCATTATTTTCTCAATATTTGTGAAGCTTCATTTTACTGCTTTCCTTCCCATACTGTATTTCAAATGTTTGCATTTATAAACCCAAATTCAAATGAATACGTTATTCTTACTAGTGTCTACTTAGGAGTCCTGTTAGCATACTGGTTATACATTGGGGTGCTAAGTGCAAGGTCAGCAATTTGAAATTACAAGCCTATCTGTGGGAGAAAAACAGGGCTTCCTATTCCCCTAGAGCAGGGGTGCTCAAGATGTTGATCGCAAATGTAGTGTGGATAGATTGCATGGCATTAAAAAAGATGTTACCCTATCATCAATCCTGTCACTTAATTGATATACAACACAGCCAATCAGATGCAATCTTAGGTGTCAAGCGCATGTGCAAACAACCGTGCTAAGTGCAGCAAAACTGACTAGCTATCGCCAATATTTAGACCTTCGTTTAACAAATCATTCATACGAAATGGGAGATTTTGACACTACAAGCCGACATTCAGCTGAAGTCCAGAGCACATGAACAGTTATGGAACTTACTCGCAGAGGGAAAAGTACCCAAGCGTGAGAAAATGTCTTACCTCCTTGACTGCATTATTCGGCTCTACTTATTTATGTGAGTCAGCCTTTTTCCACATAAAGATCATTAAGTCCAAGTACCGTTCCACCATGACTGATCATTTGGAAGTGTGCTTGAGTCTGGCTGTCAGCA